AGTGTAGCTTCTAGTTGAATCGGCGAGTATGGCCGCGAATGCTGCCAAGTGCGAGGTCCTTCACTTTTGGGGGCACTACACGTGAGCGAAAGCGGCTTATGGAAGCTGAGTATCGGTTAGGTGGGGTGGGGTTGGGGCGCTGACCGGCAACGAGACGGCACGGTACCTCGGGTTGCACTATGGCCCAGGAGTGCGGTTTTCAGCATGTACCAAGCAACTACTCGCAGCAGGGAGGCGGCCAGCACCCTGTGTCGAGATAAGAAAATTACCACCCCCAAGCTATGTATGTCTCTCTACAATACACTAGTTGTACCGGTGTTTTCTTAATAATATATCCGAATTCCGAATAAAAAATGTTCGTGGTCCTAAAAACTAGGAATGAATAATGTTTCCGACCGTACAAGTTCATTCCTCCAGCCAAAAATGGGCTGTCCATGCCAAAGCCGCTAGGATCTTACAGAAGACATACATATTAACCATATCATAGCAATGTCGCTACTCCGGTTGTCAACAGTGAGCGGGCCAAGCGTCAACGTTCTTCATATGGAGACAATCGTGATGGGCCAGGAAACACGGGCGTCGAGTTTGATGGCAGCAGCCACCCCGGCGCTGCAGCTAAGACTCCTAACCCCACACTCTGTGGCGCAAAGACACCCCGACTGCAGACACAGCGGATCGTGAAGGGGCAGAGCGACGGCGCGTGGCTGGAAAAGAAGGACAAGTATTCCTTCAAGTGGCAGCTGTACTTCGGAGCCATGTTAGTTTGGGCTGATGTGCGGTGTTTTCCTTTCCTTCGTGGCTTTTAGGCGTTGTAGTATTGCCCTTGGGCCCTCGGCTCCTATGGGTAGTCTTACAGGTATGGGGTCATGCACCCCCAACCATGTAAAACACACACACACACACACACACACACACACACACACACACACACACACACACACACACACACACACACACACACACACACACACACACACACACACACACACACACACACATGGACGCAGTGCATTATGCATATCTGGAGATATTGTGGTGTGCACGTATTGTGACATTCCCCAACCCGGTGTTTGTATGAACTAAACTGTAACTCATCGGGGGGTGTCTGGGGGGGGGTGTAGCCCCCCCAGCGCCTTACAGATTAAGAATACTTTTATTCCCGCGACTAATAATCTATTTATCCGTTCGGACTGGAAAATTGACGGGCGGTGGTGGCGGTGGTGGCCGTGGTGGCGGTGGTGGCGGTGGTGGTGGCGGTGGTGGTGGCGGTAGTGGTGGTGGTCACTCTGGCGACCAGCAGGCGCTATGGCCAGCTGTAGCGGCTTTGCAAAGTCGGGTGCCGCATGATGCCGCCTCTCGCT